AACTGCTTTGTCATTTTTTTCTTTTTCCAGATGAAAACATGTTTCAGCTACGTATAGAAAAATAGTGTTTTGATTGCTTTTGTAAGAAACTTTTTAATGGATTATGTTATTATTTTTTAATAACGGGCATTCATTACAGTATACATGCCTAGTGCATCCATGATGATGATGAAATTGGAGAGGCAGATAATGTTCAGAGTTTGCAGACTGGTGTTTCCTGTTGTATATGGTGAACTGAATGAATGTCAAGTTTGAAATCTGAAATAGCTAGTGCAGATAATTGGATTTGCTGACATCTTGTTCTTGTGGGTCAGATGGGAAGGTGAGTCCAGGGTGTTAGAGGTCTCTGCTTAACAGCAAGGAAGTTCTGGCAGCTATGCAATGATTCAGTGAGAGATTGATACCTTTATTTAGGTGTTTAGATGCAGCGTTCTATCTGTGATCCAGATGTTTAAACTCCCTTTATAGTCAGCGGAGATTTAGTTAATGTTGTCCCTGGAGTTTTAGATGATTTTAAAGTATCTGGCTCCTTTCAGTCATCTGAATATCTCCACAGACTTGATTTGACTGTAAATAGCACTAGATATCCACTGACTGTAAAAGGAGTCAGGATGCCTTGTTCACATGCAGGACCTCAACAAAGATGTCTTTACAGACTGTATCCATCTTTGTATTTCTGTATGTGTTAATATAAATTTGTATATTTTTAAGGTACTAAAAATGTGACTGATGTTGTTAATATAGCTGAAAAGGCCATCTTGTTCTGTGAACCAAGATTAACTCTATCCCAGCCAAAACCAGCACAAATGTGATGTATGCACTTGAGTGTATGCACTCCTTCATGAGCTACTTGGAAATGCCTGGTTCTGGATGTTTTATTATTATCATTGTCTGAACTGTGTATAAGATCTATTAAAATTTGATCTTGCAAATGCCCACTTAGTTTTGACAAATACATAGATTGATCAAAAAAAGAACTGAAAAAGGAACAAAGGTCTGACTAGAGTATAGATTTTAATAATTCCTCTACTATACGATCAGAGATATCAAAACCTGTTGTAGGATTTGCAATTCTTAATTTAATTTAAATGGAAATTTCTTACATATCCTGTACTGGAAATTAACAGATCTGGACTCTATCCTTGTATTTGCCTTCAGCAGCATGCTTTAGGTAGTGTATTTTTATGATTTTCTGACACTAACTTGTATTTACACACCCAAGTTTGTTCTCCTAGGTTCTAGAAGAAATTGCATTCAGTTGTACTTTTAGCTCACTTCTGAGAACACTCGTTTCATAGCTTCCCTCCCAGAATTGTTTACTAGGGAGGCTTTTCTACTCATTGCAAAAACTGAAACGATTGCTAAGGCTAACACTTTACATCAGTGTCTTGACTTAAAAATGCAGCTAGTTCAGCAGCATATGGTGAGGTGGCTGAGCTTAGATGCGCTTCAGGAATTTTGAGTAGTCACTCTGTCTTTTCAGAATTTTTTAGTCATCTGTATCACGAAGATTGTTTCAGTCATATCTTCTTAGCTTCCTTTTTCCTGACCTAAGTCAGAATCTACAACTACTTGACAGTTGATGAAAGGCCAAGAAGTCTGCTGTTCCATGTGGGTACAAATACTTTGCTCCTACAGGTCTTCTGAAGAAATCCTCACATGTTGTCCATGAATGTTTGTCCAACGATGACTTCTAGTCACTGCTGCCGAAGGGGATGTGTAGGGCTTTTCTTCTGCTCTTGATCACTGCTTATGACAGAGTCAGCCTTAATTTTCTTGAACATTCAGTCCCAAATCCTTAATATTAAAACAGTGTATTTACTAAAACCATTTTCTTTGCTTCAATACAGTCAATGTAGTTACTTAGAAACTCAGTTTCTTTCTTGTCCTTAAAACTGCTGTGAAGATAAAATTAATCTTCTTAGAATTATTGCAAATTGAAAAGAACAAAAGCATATTGATTTTCACTTTATCTTTTGAGATTGGAAATGGGTCTGTGTGGTTTTGCAAAGTAACGGTTCTTTGATTATATAACTCCAATTTGTTAGCATGGTAAACTTTGTTATCTGAGTTGTGGTCCCTGATCAGATCTGAACTTGCTTGTAAAGTCGCAGAGGAGTTAAAAAAACCAACCAAACAAACAAAAACCCAAAACCAAACACGAATCCCCTAAACCAAAACCAAATCTTTGCACAATCATTCTGTCTCCAGGCAGGTGCACGTGCTTTATAAAGAAATATATCTCTGCATTTTAAGAAGACAGCTGTAATTAGAACAGAGTATTGATTCTCTAACATGGTCCACATGTGAGCTCACAAAACAGAAATAGCACAGCTGAACCTCGGGCAGTCAGAAATGCAGAGTGTTTTAAAGACCGGTTGGTGACCAGAAGTGTTGTGAGCAATTGGTTTTAACATGAATCGTAAGGGACAAGTCATCCTGTAATGGGTCAAATTTGTCTTCATCTTTTTGTGGATGAGAACTGCAGTTGTGCAAATTGCTGTCATCTCAAGTAATGTGGTAAATTCGGGACAGAAGTCATTAGTAACTGAATACTTACAGCAATTTGCCTTAAGTCACTACAGTGCTTCTCATTACCTTGCCACCCTTCCCCTTTGTCAGTGATTTAAGCTCAAGCAGAATAATTGACAATAAATTCCTGAAGGTGCTCTGGCAATCCCCAGAAGAATTGCAGTGTTTGTGACTACCGTGAGAAAGTGAAGTTGTTTCGTCATATTTACCTTTCCCCAGGCTGGTATGGGGGGCAGCATTGACCCATACCTGCCAGCATGAATAAACAAGTCAGTGACTTGGATTGAAAACCAAGTAGTTAATGTAATTAAATGTGTTTCCTCTGGTGTGTGGGAAAGAGGAGCTATTAAACAAACAGACGTTAACCAACTTCTCCAGAAACAGCCAACACGCTACTGCAGAGACACAACGCATTAAGGCGCCTGCAAAATTATAAGGAAGAATAATCTTCCTATCGATGTATCATAAGGAGGGCAATACCAAATTTACTTACTTGGTTTGTAGTAGTCCTTTATGGTGACTTTAGATTGTTTACATTCTGCATAACAGTCAGTGGGTAGGGAGCTTCATGAGAGCTCATCAGTGGTCAGATCACCTCCTAGTGAAGTCTGTTTTGAGGAAGTGCAGGTCCCTGGCTTTTCTAAGCACACAGAACAGGGCTGGTCACAAGCAGAACCAAGCAGAGCAGCTACTCCAGTCCTATCACTGGTGTTACTGTGACTTTTTGAGAACTGTGTACTAAATGGTTCTTAATTACCAAGTCTTGGTGTGAAAGTATGCGGGACTCATTGTCAGCAAAGCCAGAAATAATATCAAGCAGCATGCTGTGCTGTGTAGTGTGATGCATCATACCTTTTGTACACTTGTGACAAGTCATGCCAAGGTAAATTTATTTCAACAGATGTCTTACAAAAACTTCAGGAAACCTGGGGGTGTACTGGAAACTCAGAAGTTTTCCAGACACTGCATCTTTGTTCTGGCCTGGGTTTATAGAAGTTTGTAATGCAGTTTGTTATTTAACATCAATACAAATATTCTTGCATAAATCCACATATGGTAAAACCTTAGCTGTGGCCGCATTCTCAGTTTGCTACTCAACAAAATTGGAAAAAACCTTGTGATCAGAGCTTTTCAGCCACAACTAAATGGCAGGGGGGAAAGAGCTGAGTGTGAAGAACAGGAAGAACAAAGCGCAAACATGACTAACAGTGGTATCAGAGGAGAGCAAAGTTCAAGACTAGTAAGGTAAAACCTGCCATTTCTTGTGTTATTTTTACTACAAGCTATAAATATGTCCTTGGGCATACTCTGAACTCAACTGGACAAAGCCTTGAGCCAATTTCAACGTTGGCCTCGCTTTGTGTAGGGGATGAATCTGATGAGCCTCAGGGTCCTTTCTGATTAGCCCATTTTGTGAGCAGCAGGCATGGTAGATATGGAACTAGCTTCTGTCTGCAAGTACAAAGGTACAGTAACTAAGGTGCAAGGCTATCAGTAGTATTACTGTAAGCTGCTACAGAGAGAAACAATTAGGTGATTGTCAGAGTTCTGATAGAGATGTGATTTTGTCACTTCCTAGCTGGAAAGGCAAAGGAAAAATATCTCTCTTCTGCAACCTGAAATACACAGGGTGGATCAAGAATCAATTGTTGAGTTTTGTCAGTTTTGTTGTACATTGCCCTTTCTTCTGAATGAATGTGCTTCTAGTTTCTTTTGCGTTATATCCTGGGGTGCATCAAATGCAGTGTATATAACCAGCTGGTCAAGGGAAGTGGTTACCCCTCTGTATTCAGCGTTGGTGCAGCCTTACCTGGGGCACTGTGTGCAGTTCTGGGCCCACAGTTTAAGGAGGATGTGAAGGTCCTCAGATGAATCCAGAGAAGGGCAACAAAGCTGGTGAAAGGGCTGGAAGGAGTGGCTGAGGACTCAGGGCTTGTCTAGTTTGGAGAAAAGGAGGCTGAGGGACAGCCTCATTGCTCTCTCCAGCTTCCTGAGGTGGGGACCTGGAGAGGGAGGAGCTGAGCTCTTCTCCCTGGGAGCCAGTGATAGGATACGTGGGGATGGTTCAAAGCTGCACTGGGGAGGTTTAGATGGGACATTAGGAAGCATTTCTTTACTAAAAGGTGGTCAAACACAGGCTTTCTAGAGAGGTGGTCAATGCCCCAAGCCTGTCAGTGTTTAAGAGGCATTTGGACAATGCCCTTAATAACATCTTTAACTTTTGGTCAGCCCTGAATTGGTCAGGCAGTTGGACTAGATGATGGTTGTAGGTCCCTTCCAGCTGAAATAGTTCTATTCTATTCTATTCTATTCTATTCTTTCCAGTACTCGGGTTTCACCGAAGGAAGAACTAATTTATCTAACGGGTATTAGTTTTAAGTTGTGTATTATTTCTGTTATTTTCTAATTATCAATAGCTTTCTCTTTTAAGTTACTTCTAGCACAGGAAAAAACATATAGAAGGAAAAATGGATCCCTTGTTTTGGCCATCAGAAACTAACAGCTTTCGACGTTTCACCCCTGAGTCCTTGGCAGCAATCGAGGAAAGAATTGCTAAGAAAAAAAAGCAGCAAGCTGAGGTTAACCAGGAAAATAAGGACCAAGGAGATGAAGAAGATAAACTTACTCCTCAGCTTGATCTGAAAACCTGCAAAAAACTGCCATCTCTGTACGGGGATCTTCCCGTGGAACTCATTGGGGAACCTTTGGAAGATTTTGATCCATACTACAGTGACCACAAGGTTAACACTTTCAAAAGCATTTTTAAGTTTAATTTCATCTGCTGAGGAACTTTGCTAGGTTCTAGAGTAAAATCTCTATTCAGGAGATGCTGAGTCTTCATTGTGCTGTAGACAGATCTTCAAAAGGTCCTAGTGGTTTTTGGGGCAGGAGTACTAAGTTAAGCTCTACATTATGTAATGAAAACATATTTTAAGTTCCAATCAGCAATCAGATGTAAGTATGACAACTTGATGCACTTGGTAGATACACTTGGATAGGAAATATATTCTGGGATAACTGATGCTTTGTTTTCCAGAGCAGTTTCCATATGTCCATGGAGCAGAGCTCACTGTCATATAAATAGCTCCTGTCAAATAGTAGATAATGATGAAATTGCTGACTTACTGCAGATGCTTTTGCTGAATGACAAATATTATACAAATTAGGAGGGGCATATTTGAGATTTCCAGTACTCTGTGTAGCAAAAACATGTATTTTCTTTCTAATAAATTAATTTTCTGTTATTTTATGTCTCATCAACTTTGTTTATTGTACCATATTTATATTGCACATAGTCCATGCTATAGCCTACCAGTGTGCTCTAGGAATCTCTTCTAAATGAAATGTCTGTTTTGTGACTGCTTACTGTAGAGGAGCACTTGACCTGAAGAGCAGGAGGTTCTATCCAGTCCTGTGTCGCTGTCTTTTATGTATACCAGCAAGTCGCTGGAATATAATAATTTAATCAGAAACATGCCAAAAGCTTTGTTCTTCCAGAGTTTATTTTTTCTTTTCTCAAAGTGATCAAAGTGATATTGTTCTTGAAGAGAAACTAAGGCTGATTCAGTAAAAAAAAAAATTACATGAAAGTTAGTGAACTGTGTTTTTAATTTAAGAGAGAGTATTTTTACTTGTGGCAAAAGTACTGAGCTGCATGGACCTTAAGGTCCTTAGGGAAAACTTAGAGGGGATTTACAGTGTTACTTGATAATTTAGAGATATTAAAAAATTGAAATTTTTGCTTTGACTGGATTCAATTCTGGCACAATATGTACACAATATATATTTTGGAAATATTCTTTTGTAGCTAATAAAACTATCCCGGAGTAAGATACTTCTGAGTGTGATTAACACCATTGTTGCAGTCCCAAAATAGTAATTCCTTCAATTATTTTGACCAAATGAATATGATCTCTTGCTCTTCAAATTCATTCCCATTACTCCTTCTTCCTCACAGGCAATAATGAACTGTTATACAATAATGATGAGCAATAATGAGCTGTTATACAGCTGCTGTCTTTCTTTCAAAATGTAGTATCATCAGGTCACAACTCCAAGTAAGAATACAGGAAAGCTTTACTCATAACTGCAATTAGATATATTTCTGGATGTAGCTTTGAAAACCTAAACATTTATTTTTTGGGAAAAATTCAGTTTCATTAAAATAACTTGTATACTATGAATCTTTTTTTTTAATAGACTTTTATGGTGATAAATAAAAGGAGGACTATTTTCCGGTTTACTGCCACTCCTGCCTTGTGTATGGTTGGTCCTTTTAATCCAATCAGAAAAGCAGCAATTAAAATTCTGACCCATTCATATCCTTTTATTGGTTTCCCTTATTTCAGTTTTAAAATATACTGAACCATTTTCTTTCGTTCTGTTCCTCCGTTCATATTAATGTAAATGCAAGCTCATGTGACTGTGGTAGAGATTTTTAAAAAGTTATATTGAATCTTGTTTTGCAATACCTAAGATACTTCCAGGGTTTTGGTATAAGCAAAAATGTCAAAAAGCTCATATTTAAAGTCAGTTTGGCAGATAATGTTATGAAACAACATTTAGAGGCTACTGTATGATATTTTAGCCCTTTTCCAGAACGTTTTCTGTGGTGACAAGCTTAAATTTAAAAAACCAACCAAACCAGTGACTCCCTAGTTGTTAGACATGAGGTTTATGGCAGTGCTTTGCTGAAACAGTCTGATGTTATCCTAAGTGTATTTCACACTCAGGTTTAGAAAGTTCTGAAGGGTGGCCATTTTTTATATTTTTGCAAAAATATAAACGTAGTTTGAAGCATGTGAAAAGGTGAGTGATTGCAGGTGCAATAGGCTGAGTAGTTTCTGCTCTTTCTTCCAAACATCTCTTTTCATTTGGAGTTATTTATTTGCAGAAATAGGTCCATTTATGGGAACTTAAGGCTGAATTTGAATGTGTATTCGTGCTATTAGTAATTACTAAATTTGCTGTTCAACTTCAAATAAACCCTAATTTTAAGGCCAATGGTTTTTCTAAAAAAACACTGCTTTTATTAGGTGACAAGTGAACTTTCATGAAAGACTGTTTTTTCTTAGGTATGTTTTCACCTCCTGCCCATGTAACATGAGAAAGTTTTCTGAGCTCATGGCAGAGCATAGGTGTCTCTTGTAAGAATGTATATATGGGATGCCAGTTTCAAAGACCATTGGTGATTGATAATTAAGCTTTTTCATCTGGTTTTATCAGGCTTAAAATCCCTAGTTATTATGAGGTTGTGGTCCATTTCTTTCTCTTTTATGCCTCTGCTGGGAAAAAATTGACGTTTCTAGAATTTCAAATAGCAGCAGACAGCAAGGGACACAGAATTTTTTGTTTTTATTTATTCATTTATGTTCCTCATCTTTTCTGTCAAACATACTATGTTCTACTAATGTCCTAATTTCCAAAACTATCTCAATGTGTAAAAAATCCGTTATTATTTTTAAATCATAATGTTTACCCTGCTAAGAAGAAGATTGATCTGACATCAGTTTCTTTGGAAGACACATGAAAAGTCCTGAGCATATTCAAATGCAAAGTAATGATTTGAATATCTGTATGTATTTTTGTGTGTAAATCCGCACCTTTTCTGAATTTCATTGTTTTATAATATAGCACTTTTTCCTTAACTTATTTTTCACATTATTTGTTGGCTTTATTACATGTACCGTGGTACTCAATTGTGCTTCCATGGCTGTAAATAAGCTTCCAGAAGCGCTCAACTGGACTGAGTAAGTATCTCTGTTGACATTTGTTCACTCTTTTTCTAAGGATAATGGACTGAAAATTTTAAATAATGTGAACATCTAATTCTAGGGCTTGAAAATTCTCAGACAGATTTCTGAGGAAGATTTAGGATTATTATTATTTTTATTATTATTGTCATCATCATATCACATAGTCTTCTATGGAGCTTCAGTGCCTTTTCTTAGAGGCTTTCACCATATGCCCTTTTCTCTACATTGGCTAATTTTACCATCTGGTGTAACACAGAAGGTTGCCCCATTTCTCCTTTTAAGGATTAAATCTTTCAGAGATACTGTGCAGCAGTATTCAAACCCAACACCTCGCACTCTAAGGCAATTAACCTGAATGTCTGTTATGGCCAGCTCATGCAAAAAGTATAAAGGGATAAATATTCTTTCTATTCTTTCTTGCTGTTTCCCAGGGACACCTCTAGTTCATTTGTTCTCATTAGGAAGCCATCTATTTCTAACGTCTTGTGACCTTTTGTAATCGTGCACTGTATCCAGTGTAACTTGAGTTAATATTCTGGAATTAAATCTTGAAAGTGGGCCTGGGTTCTCAGATGTTCTATAATTTAAATTTCTCTTATTTTAAGGTAAGAATGTTGATAATGATGGTCAATTTTATGTGGTAGTAGTTTCAGTTATAGAGTATGTGTCAGAATAAATGTATAAAATGTGTGAAATTTACAGGCTATAATAAATATTTGCTGTTATTGTTCTGGGAAAATGTTGAGGCTTTGAAATTTTCCAGCCTGCTCTAGAATACAAACACAGTCTTATAAATGTTTCATAACGAAATATGAGCTATCCTTCATACAGAAATAGTATGGTATGTTTATGTGAACATTTGTGATTATAGAATTACATGGAAATCTTACTAAAATTCAGGAAAGCATCTTCTTAAACCCGTAATGTTTCTGAAAGTAATGTATTCTGTCCTATTTTACTTCATATTTTCTACCTTCATCTCTATCCAGTGACTACATCATAGAAAAGGTAGAAATGTGCCTGGATGTTTCTCAATCTCCTGAATATTTTTATTTCTATAATTTTAATATACACTTTCCTTCTCAGATATCTTTTTACTGGCATATATACTGGTGAAATACTGATAAAAATATTAGCAAGAGGATTTGTTTGGAATGAATTTACTTTTCTTAGAGATCCATGGAACTGCTTGGATCTTGTCGTTATTGTCATAACGTAAGTAAAACTCAGTTGTTTTTTACACTCAAGGGATAAATACACAGATAAAATGCTATTTGATATTGCTGAAGTTATTTAAAGTGGTTGGCATCCTACCAGCTTAAGAGTTAGTGTGGTTGACTCACCCTTTGAATATCTGCAAAGAGAAAAATAGTCATAGACCTTAAAGCAAGACTTAAATGCAAAGCTTGTCTTAGAATCCTTTGGTTGTTCTCAGTTTACTATGTATTTATATTTTGTTAAGAGGCCATTGCATAGACAGCCGAAACCAAACATGCCTCTTTATATTGTCTTAGTTGTACTCTGGGTCAGATTAAACCCTTTTGAGAAAGATCCAAAGTGGGTCACAAGGTGTTGAATGACATGGTGCTAAATAGCAGATAAAATCTCAAGAACGTAAAGTGATCCTCTAGATAAAACAGACCTAGCTTTACATACACACTTATAGATGTCAAAAAGCTTTCACTTCGTGGGAAGAGGGTGCTGGAGACAAAGCAGACAACCTTGTGAAAACACCATTCCAATGTGCAATTATGGTCAGAGAAGAAAATAGAAAATGAGGACATTATGGGAAAGATGTAAAGAAAGAAGCAGAACACAGAGTTATTTCACTGCATGCTTCTTCAGGACTGTATGTAGTTTTGCTCCTGATATCTCAAAAGATGACAGAATTAAAAAAGGTACAGAGAAGATGTATATCTTGTGTTCCACACAGTAAGAAACTAAATGAGTAGAACTCTAATAAAAAAAACCAAAACCCTACAGCAGCAACATGGTTGAAGTCTGTGGCACAGAGCCAAAGAGAGAATAAGTAATTTGTTTTTGTCTCCTGTGACAAGAGCTAAAGGCACCAAATGAGGTTGTCAGATGGCACAATACAAAAGAAGGGAGTAGTTTTTCACGCTACGTGTAGGCATATTCCCATAGGAGTCTATGGATGTAAAACAGTCTTCTAGTCATAAGGCTTCTGGACAAAATCCTGGTTGAAAACACATCAAGGGTTATTTTTAACACAAAGATACTATGTCTTGTTCAAGAAGTCCCTCAGTTATAAATTTGCTGGAAGAATTAAATCCGGGAAGCATCATTGCCTTGATTCCAAACTTGCTGGTAAACATCTGTTGTGGGTCATTCTTGAAGACAAGGTAATAGGCCAGATGGATCACTGCTGTGGTCAATTTTAAATTCATATCAAGGCCAACTAGCCAGGTGGACAAGAAATAAGGAAGAAACCAAGTCAGAATTTTAATCTCAAAACAGAATGTTAATCTCAAAAGCAAAACAGTCTTATTTGCAGCACTGAACAGATTCACTTATGCCCAGTCTCAGAGCTTTCCAAGCACATCTCTGTTACCCAGCATTTTGGAATAATTTTCAGTTGTCGTCTTCTAATTTATTAAAGGTGTAAAGTACTTGAGATTGGAAGGGACCTCTGGAGATCATGCAGACCCACTCCATGCTGGCTGCAGACCTCTCTGGTAGTGACAAAATCAAGGCAGCATGGAGTATTTTCAGCTTTTGCATGCCCTCTGTCACTAGGTTCCCTGCCCCCTTGAACAACAGGCCCACAGTTTCCATTCATGTTTTCACTGCTGATGTGCTTGAAGTAGCCCTTCTTGTTGCCCTTCACATCCCTTGCTAGCTTCAACTTCAGCTGAACTTCGTCTTTCCTTGCTTCATCCCTGCATGCTTGCCAATGTCTTAGTGTCCCTTCCCGAAGGTATCTCTGCTTTACCCTCATCCACACTTCCCTTTTGAATATGAGATTAGTCAGGAGCTCTCTATTCAGACAAGCTGGTTTTCTGCAGGGAAAATCCTGGCTAGAATTTCCTTACTTGTAAATAATAAATCACGCACTCAGATATCATCACACACGTGAATATGTATATGAACAAAGTATTCTTATGGGTAATCTATAAACCACAAAGGAGCTTACACATTGTTAATCATCAGTGACTATTAAATAGTCCAATAGCTGTATGAACAATTTCATTTCATGGTCCTGCTTCCCTACCAACACTCCTAATTACTTGGTGTTCAGGCAGATATAAGCACTTTGCAATATAATATGTCCTTCTGTTTTTCTGGGTCCTGTCAACAAATGAAAGTATTTGGAAATTAACTCAACAATTAACTCAAGTGTAGTTATTACTTAAGGTACTTGAGGGTTATTTAATCTTGCAAGCTAAGCAAAGCCATAGTGTTCTCATCTATTGCTGACAAAAGTCAGGCTTTGAGTGGAAGGTCACCTAGTTGACCTTCAGATGTCCTTTCCAATCAGTGTTTCTCAGATTCTCTTACTGAGACTTTTTATTTTAAGGAATTCTGTTATCAGTTTTGACCTTGCCTTAAGATAACTCACAATTCATGACCATTCTGATAGCAAATAAGTCTTATAAAATATGGGGTAATCTGTTAAAGTGCTGTATAGAATATAGAACTCTTAAAATCTTCATTTTCTGAAGTTTTCAAATTGTAGGAACATGTAAATTGAAACTAGCTTCACTGCTCAAGTTCCTAGTTGACACTGTTAAATAAAAGGTAGAAAGACAGCCATGTAGTATTAACTAGTGTTCAAAGTTAGAAAGACAGCTGGAGGATTAACATATTGTAAACCTGGTTTTGCTCAACTCTCTTCTCCTAAAGTATATAGTGTATAGTTTTGAGATAGCTGCAAATATGCTTTCATGTGGTGTAAATCAGATGAGCCTCAGGATGAGAGGGTGTGGTTGTGACACTGAAGGGTTTTATTTATTTGACATTGTGATGGACAAACATTTCAAAATTTAAGCATCCAAATCCACGCCCAGTAAAAACTTGCTGTGTTCCTTTTCAGAGGCACTATTCAAAAGTCACATTGGTTTCTATCATTACTTAGAAATAGACTTAGATTCCTAACTTCAGACATCTACCTTAGGACCTATTTGACCTATTTATTTTCTGTAACTTATTAATTACTGTGTGCTCAATATGCATATGCTCTGAAAAGCTAGATCTTTGTTACCCAGTCATATGGTGGTTTAATTTTATAGGTATGTCACTATGTGTAATAGTATGGGCAAGATTTCGGCTCTTCGAACTTTCAGAGTACTGAGGACTTTGAAAGCTATTTCAGTAATACCGGGTAAGGAACAACAGGTCTTACTAATTTTCTCTCTACTTCAGCAGTATGTGGTCACTTTTTGTGATGGTTGACAGGATCCCAAGGTGAGACTCTTTTGCAGCCTGCTGTAACTCTCAGCAGCATCCTAACAGAGTATTTTTAATCATCTTTCCTCAAAATTATTTTGACGCAGGCAAATTTTTGTATTTTCTGCTTTTCTATCCCATCCCTAATGTTCAATTTTACTTAGCCCAGTGCCTTCATCTTTTTATTTTTGTCTTACCTGAATGGCACACCCTCTTCAATATGTTAACAAAATATGGCTCTACCAACATGTCTTTGGTGTCACATTATACTTAATTAGATTAATCTTCTCTGGTTTATTTCCCAGAATGCTGACTTCACTATATTTCAGAGTATCGTTTCTTTGTTTACTGACTGCAACCACTATCTGGATTCATCATAATGCTTTCAACAGTATTTTGCATATGCTCTCCAGATATTCAATATTTTCTTAAGTTGTGCCACAAATTAGCATACAAAAATATGGATTCCAGAATATAACTGCAAAAACTAATTTGAAAATCTGTAAATGGCTATATATTCCATTGTCATAATATATATTAATGTTACCATTTTCATGCAGTTACAAATATATTTTTGATTTTGCTATGGAATCATAAGTGTTTTATTTTTAATGTCAAAACCAGCAGTCAATACTTTTCCTTTCATACTCACCATGGAGAACAGAGATTAAATGCAATATTTTAGCAACCTGATGTAGTAGAAAATGTCCCTACCCATGGCAGGGGGGTTAGAACTAGATCTTTAAGGTCCCTTCCAACCCAAACCATTCTATGATTCCATGATTTTTTTCTTGTGAAAGACTTCTAGAAAAATCCCGGATATCACTCTCTGCCTATGTCATAATTCAGTTATTCTGCCAGAATATTCGTCTTTAGTTTATATATAACCCATTTGCACAGAATCACAGAATAGTTGAGGTTGGAAGTGACCTCTGGTGTCAACTGGTATGTCCATGTCTGTCTGTTACTGGGGAGCCCAGAACTGGATCCAGGGATGGCCTCTCCAACACTGAGCAGAGGGGAAGGATCACCTCCCTCGACCTGCAGGCCATGCTTTGGTCAGTGCAGCCCAGGATGCCATTCACCTGATCTGTGGCAAGGGCACACTGCTGGGTCGTGTTCTGCTTGGTGTCCACCAGGACCCCAGGTCCTTTTCTGCCAAGTTGTGTTCCAGCTGGGTGGTCCCCAATATATAATTGTTCCCTTCCCAATGTCATAGATGTTCTTTTGCGTTTAAACTGGTGACATCCATAAGGCATTGTCTTCTAAGACATTATTCCCTGAGGTCAGCAGAAGCTATCCTTTATTGTAATGTGTATTAGGCACAATGTGAAGTACTTGTTTAATGTTCATCAAGCACAGAAGTCTGTCCATATTGATTAAAGAGGACATCAATGCAATTTCAGTTTAGAATTTTCAAGTTAGCAAAATCAATGTTAGAAGGAAATAAAGGCCAAATAGATAATGATCAACAAATTTAAGTAAAAATAATTTACTCATTCCTACGCTTTATTTTACCTTATTTAATACTCTAAACCATTTACAGTGATTGTTTTTAACATACTTGCAACTGTTGTATATTTTCATACGGGAACGTTTCTGCATTCCGCTTCTCATTTTGCATATTATTGAATCTTATTTTCTAGGTCTGAAAGTCATCGTAAATTCACTTATTGAATCTGTTAAGAAACTGACTGATGTGTTGATCTTGACTGTTTTTTGCTTGAGTGTATTTGCTCTAATAGGCCTCCAGCTTTTCATGGGCAATTTAACATCCAAATGTGTCCTCAGTAACACTACATACAATGACACATTATGTAAGGATGCCAAGATATATGTACCAACTGATGAAGGTATATTTTATTCTTTTCTTCATTTTACATGATAAGTGTCTCTTCCTATGTTAGTCTTGTGTTTTCACAGAGATGTTAAAATATAGTTGCATGTATCTCTCACAAGAAGATACATCCTTCCATTTGTACAATATTCACATTCATGGTGATATGAAGTGTCTAGGACAACTGCATGTGAGATTAATGAATCTTGGATTTGGAGAAAGGTTAACAGTCTGCGGGATAGAAGGGATTGAGTTTTCTATAATTATTTCCTTCTCTACCTATGCACATTGCACTGGGATCCTAATTTTAGGGGCACTGCACAGATCTGCTGAGAAACAGCCCTATATGCCCTTCTTGTGAAAGCTGTCTTTGACAGAGGTTTGGTCCATCAAGGCATTTGTTAAAGTGCAGTGATGTGTGGTTTACTGTCAAAATGCTGTAGGAACCAACGACTTTTGATTTTATGATTCCTTGGTTTTGTTTTTCTATTAGATATCTGCTACAGAATGAATAAATCTAGTGAAATACTGCTCTGTGGGTTCAGTTCATATCCTGAGTAAGTAGTACTTGCTTATTTTTACCTCCAGATGTACTGTGGGTTTATTTTTGGCCTAAAGGAATAGCGATGATTTTTCAGGAGGGTGGAATGTGTGTGTGTGTTATTGAATTAAACCCCAGATATTTCACATCAGAAAAAGAATGAAGTAAAGGATGCTGGCACTAGGATGCAAGCAATTACCAATGGTGCTTTGTTGCTAACCACTGGTAATATAACGATAACGTAGAATATAAAAAGGAGGACAGGAACAAATTAATAAAAAATTGTGCGATCTTAATAAACTCTCCTCTCCTCATCTTAGTGAATTATTTAAAAGTAAATATATTTCCATTTTTTCTCCTTTCTGTGTATTTGTTTGCATGTGTCCTACGGTGGGGAGTTTCTATCTAGTCAGAAACAAGACAGAACTAGAGCTGCTGTCTAGTTTCTTTGACTAGACAAATGGCTTTCTAGGATACAATGCAGCCCTTCTGACAGAATCATACTGGGGAATAATGAAATCGACTTTCAGATAAATTATAGATTTGTTCAGTTTATGGTGTGTACTGGATGCTTTCAGGTAGAATCTAATACTGCAAGTAAATATTGTTTAACATTTCTTTTGTGGTTAGAAAAGAGTGCCCAGAAAACTATACCTGCAGGAAGGTTGGGAATAATCCTGACTTTGGTTACACAAGTTTTGATCATTTTGGCTGGGCCTTCCTTTCTTTATTCCGTCTGATGACGCAGGATTACTGGGAGCGTCTCTACAGACAAGTAGGTACTTTCATTACCTGACAGAATGACTTTAGACATGCAGTTTAGAGGTTTATGTCCACTAGAAAAATCTGTGTCTGTTTTAACATTGCTGATAACCAGATTTCAAGTGACTGAGCTGTTAACACCTTCTGCAAGTGACACTGGATGGGAGCAATCATGCTGTGAATGCTCATCGGCTTGTTGGAGAACACACTTAAGTCAGTTATTTATAGTTAAATGTTAATACATAACTACCTAGGGATGGGGTATATAGGAGATCTGGCTGCTGCAGGCAATATATGGAATTGTTACATACTCTAAGTCCTGACTCCTCACCAAAACTTTTGGCTCAACGTACACACTTTCATTTCAGATCATTTTGGACAACTGTTACTAAAAAAATCAGAGCCCTTATGTTTTTATTCAGAGCATTGCATTTAACTTTTTAATTTTTTTTTTTTTTT